TGCAATCTTATCAATCAATTGCTGGTGCCAGCTGCGAGCAATTCTCTGCTTGACGAAAATTGTACAAGCTCCAAGGTCTCCTCCAGGGCTTGTGAATAGCGCTCAATCTCCTCGGCCTTTAAGTCTGATGCCACCCTGGCAAACTCCGCAATGCGCGCTGGATTATCCAGCTTAATGACGAGGTCCCAATGATCGCACGCTGACCCATTGAGGTACCTTCGCAGTTCGTCCAGGGCTTTGGCTTCAAGGCTTGGCTTCCTTTTAAGGTGAACCTGTATGACATGAGTCGAATCAAAAGAACGGGAAGGCGCGTTTACAGTATTAGGTTCCGAAATCCGAACATTAACTACTGCACCTCTAATTCCGCATTGCCTTTCATAGCCTAGGGAGGTAATACGCATAAAAGGAATTCGTGGAGAAATAAGGCGCTCCTTAAGGCATGCTAAATTTTTAAGGCACTCAGGGATATCTGGGAAGTCAAAGCCTTTACTGAAATCTTAAGGTGTCTCTAAAGATTTCAAACAGTTAGCGTGGCTAATTTTTACCATGGTTAAATGAAAAAATTTATGTACTTGTCTTGTCAACTTTCACTGATAGACTAATACCGAGCATAATCAAATTGCGCAATATATAGCCCGATCTATTACCTGTCAAAGGTATCCCTTGTGTTTTGGGTCTTTTAAAAGGTTTTACCAGGCACGTGTTATACCTGTGCATCTTTGTAAATATGTCCCAATCATGTTATTCAATTTTTAGGTAAGACATTTTTTACCTAGTACAACCCAAAACTATTTTGTAAAAAAACAAAATGGTCCCTTGTGTTTTGGGTCTTTTAAAAGGTTTTACCAGGCACGTGTTATACCTGTGCATCTTTGTAAATATGACCCAAATTCATGTTATTCAATTTTTAGGTAAGACATTTTTTACCTAGTACAACCCAAAACTATTTTGTAAAAAACAAAATGGTCTGTTTTTTAAAAGTACTCTTTTTGCCCCTTTGGAAGTATAATCAGGTAGAAATATGGAACCTCCAAACCCATTTTAAAAGGTACGTTTTGTCCTTCAATACAGAAAACATAAACAGATTGAAAGTATTTGGGCTGGAAAACAGTTGCGCGCTATAGTTGGTATATAGTATATACATACCTCTCTCTATAGTGGTGGTTATGGTATTTTGGTATGGTATCTTTTACCCTGAGTTGTTTTGGTTTTTTGCGTTGCATTTCCGCAGACGCAGCCGATGAAAGTTAATTCTGATCCAGGAAAGATCCACGGAACTTGTAGTCATAGTGTAGTCGGTGGCTTTATATGTTTTTATACCCTTGCAGGGTATTATAATTTCAGTCAGAAGTTTGCAACGCAGTGAAGGAGACGTTTCCGACCCTATAAAGTATATATATTCTTGATCAGCATCAACAGCCGAGTCGATCTAGCCATGTCCGTCTGTCCGTCTGTCCGTCTGTCCGTCTGTCTGTCTGTCCGTCTGTCCGTCTGTCTGTCTGTCTGTTTCTACGCAAACTAGTCCCTCAGTTTTAAAGCTATCTGAATGAAACTTTGCATATAGTCTTCTATATGCTCTCACTGCTATATATGTCGGAACGGGCCGGATCGGACGACTATATCATATAGCTGCCATACAAATGTTCGATATATTTTTCGAAAAAAAATTATAACTTTGCTGTTTTTCAATATTTTTCCACCATTTTTTAAATGTGGCCATTATATATTATTTCTGAATTTTGATAAAAATTTTATGAAAATCGGACGACTATTTGATATAGCTGCCATAGGAGCGATCGGGAAATTAATAGGAAAAAATTACAGCTTCGTTGTTTTTCAACGTATGTTTATCTACTCTGAGATATAAGCTTTTTTTATTATTTTAGAATTTTGGTATAAATTTCATTAAAATCGGACAACTATATCTTATAGCTGCCATAGAAGCGATCGGTAAATGTATAAAATATGTAAAGCTGGGAATGTAAAACTGAAATTGTCAAATTGTAAACATAATAAGTATAGGTAAAATGTAATGAAACACTGTTTTGTGAGTCTTTTCAGCATTTAAATCTATAATATAAACATCGAAACCAATCTGCAAGGGTATACAAACTTCGGCGTGCCGAAGTTAGCTTCCTTTCTTGTTTATACTTCATTTAAAAATTATTTACAAATTCCAACAAATTTACATAGCCAAACGCAGTCTCAGCGACCACTGCCGCTCGACGAGTCCAGCTCGGAGGTGGATCGTACCTCCCGGTATTTACTTAAAAGTTCCCGCATCTTGTTTAGCGGAATGTCTGAGCCGCCGCGGCCACTGCCGGTGGCTGAATACTGAGATTGGGGCTGGCTCGTCGCCGTCCTTTTGTTATTCCACCAAAGGAACCCAGTTTCGGAGTGGCCAGGATGGTACCGATGGGCTTGGGGGGTTTGATGATCGTCTTCTGGACATTCTTTGGCGACGGGAACAGTTCCAGCTCCGAGGCGGGGAAGCTCTCCATGTTGGCCCTCCAAGCATGGAGACGCGGGCGGGTTTCCTCATCCAAATTCACATTGATAATGGCATTCAGAACGTCAACATCCCGTTTCGTTGACTCTTTGCCATATATATATAGTTGGTATATCCATTGAGGCGTCATGCTCTCTGGCGGCGTTCCAAAGTTCTCCTCCTCACTGCTAGTCCCATCCTCAGTGGCAGTCAGTTCTAGGCAGTCGTAATATAAAGTCTTGTCGTTATCCTCAAATGCTGAGGCGGTGGTGGCAGCGGCAACAGCAGCAACAGCGGCTCGTAGGGATTCGGTGCGCTTGCGCCGACTGCTCTTGCGACTGAGATTGTGCGGCAGGGACAGCTATGCTCCGCCTCCCAGGCGTTGATATATACCTCCTCGGTATTGACAGCGTCCGGCAGCTGATGGAGGGCAGTGGTGGATCCTGAATTCTGTTCAAACTTTTGCAACAAGCTGCTGCACCAGCACCCCAAATGCTGTTCCCGTCCACGCTCGTCCGGGGCCAATAGCTTGAGTAATTTTCGCAGCATCTGGAGCAGAAGCAATCGCATACACATAGCTGGCCACCAGGTGGGCAATGCGCGAATGCACCTTGCTAAAGTCCACGTGGGTAAAACGGGCGTCAATGATAAAGCTAGCAACTAAAGTCTAGAGTCTCTTCAGCTCGACGAGCACCATGTCGTTGATAAACACCTCCTTGATGTTAATGATCAGGCTTTTGGTGATCTGTTTGGCAAACACCTGCAGCGACTTTTCCACCCAGGTGTACGGCGTCTGGAATTCAGTGATGGTATTTGGCACAACCTCAGCGATGTTGGCCGACGATCTGTCCAGCTGCTGCTGCTGCTGCTCGCTGACCACCACATTAAGACTTTGAAACAATTGAACCAAGTTCATCATGGCATCCTCCTTCTTTGAATGCTCCGCATTATGTGCCCGTGCTGAGGTCCATGGCCAATGAACTGCCACCCCAAGTGGGTAAACCCTTCTAACCCAAACAGCCACCGAACCTAGAGCCAAAGGACGAAAGCGGCCTACTCAGTGCACAATTGTCCATTAGCGCCCTGGCAGGACAAATGTCCGGTGACAAGGCCATAAAGTTCTATAAACGCTGGAAAACACCGACACAACGCACCGACCAGAGCAACAACAACGATATCGTTAAGATGCTTTTAAGGCAAAGAGTTATCACACCAACCGAAGACGGACTTCCTGCTTCCAATGTTAGCCAGTACAACGCCTTAATGCTCACTCAAATCGCCCCAGAAGTGTTCGTTTCAACTGCCATAGATACTGTGAAATCAGCTAACAGTCAGTAAGAAATAAAGAAACAACTCTCAGGAATGCCCAAAATATGAAAATGTCCGAAAATAAAAATCAGTTTGAAATATTAATTCAGCAAATGAACACGTCTTTTATTTGGGTGCTCTTTCATTTTGGTGAATCGAGCCTTCGAAGCACTTTACTTTGATTAACTTTACAGTGTTCCCCTATATGGTAAGGGACTCAGAAAAAGACCAGCTCCTTCAAGCATAGCAAAATTACACTTGCAGCTAGAGGTAGCAAAATAAGTTACTCTTGCTTCCCCCTCAATGGTAAGGAACAGAGTATAAAAATAAAAGCAAAAGGATAAAAAAGAGTCCTTATTGTTTAAAAACAAAATTTTTCCAATAAAAAATATTGGTGGTGAATAAAAAATAAAAAATGTTGTGGTCGAGAAATCGGCAAAATAAAAATAAATATTAAAAATATTCATTGTGGGCGTTTTTTCGAAGCCAAAACATCGAAAAGTGACAAAAAATTAAGAAAATTAAAAGCCTATCAAGTGACAAAAAAATCAAAAAATAAAATGCCGACGCCTCCAAGTAAAAAAAAAGTGCCAAATCAAAAATTAAAAACACAGATACCTCCAAGTAAAAAAAATCATCAACAACAACAGCAAACCGAAACCAACAGACGTCTATAGAAGGAGGAAAGACCGCAGCAACAACAACGACATCAGAAACGAAAGCAGCAGCAGGTTAAAGGCTTTGATATTAGGATAAAAAAAACTTTTTAATGGGATAGACCTATTAATTTAAACCAAGTCACCCGGATTGATGTCACTTATAGGGGATATGATTCCATATTCGATGAAGTCGAATTCGACATCGCAACCTTAATTAGCGATATGGAAAGAAAAAAACCCATATACCGAACCGTAAGGATTTGCAATTCTTATGTTAGCTACCTAAACTAGACGCTTGTTTTATTTACAGCCTTTCTAAAATTTTGGTCCTTCGTTCAGATTTTTAAATCAGCACCTGAAAGTCTCTATGTAGTGCTAGACACCAGCAGCTTAAGGTAGCAAAAATAAAAATCTGTTGGTTTCCCCCACGAGATAAGAAACAGAGAATAAAATAAAAAAGCAAAAAGATACACAAGAATCAGCTCTTTCAAGCGGAGCAGTGCCTGTCTGCCGCCCTACGCTCCAATCCCTATAATCTGGAGGTCATGGGTGTGCTAAGCGTGGTGATGGTGCTGGGTGAATATCCCATGGCAGAGCGGGATCAACAAATTACAGTGTCGGAGCATCCGCACCTGATCACCGCCCATCAGTTATTCCTTCGCGCCCATTTCATGTTCGTTGAACGTAAGCTCGAGCGTGGTCTGGGCTTGTTGAGGCGTTGCCTCCAGCTGGAGCCGCGACATCCGGAGGCACTGCTGCAACAAGCCCGTCTCTACACGGATATGGAACGTTATACGGAGGCGGCGGGCGCATATCGCGATGCCCAGATCCATTTGCCGTATCGTTTTGAAGTCTTCAAGGGTCTCTTCAACTGTTATTTGGCCCAGAAGAGATATGCGGAGGCGCAGGCCATCTGTACGCTGACCCTGCGCCACTTTCAAGCCTCAGCCCGATGCTATATATTGTTTGGGCGGACATTGTTCTCCTCTGGAAATCCGAGTATAAAGAAGACAGCCCGTAAGTTTGCCCAGAGGGCATTGCAAATTGATGCCAACTATATGTCGGCGGTGGCCCTGATGGCCGATATCTATGAGCTGGAGGGCAATACGGGGGAGTGTCTGAAGCTGTTGGAAGAGCACACGACCTACCATCCGCATGCGGACTTTTTTGTCCAAATGGGCAATATGCGAATGAAGGAGCAGCCGATCAAGGCACTGGAATACTACTACAAGGCATTGGACATGAATCCAAAAAGCTTGGGCGCTCTGCCAGGTATTAATAGCTTGAAAGGCTCCTCCTTGGACATTGTACTGATTGCGGGTATCAAACGCTCCACGGAGGATAAGCAACCGATTGTCAAACCGGAATTTCTCGGCACCGATTGCATTGATTCCTTATCTTCCTTGCCAAATGCTGGGGAGGCTGTATCGGAACTTGATGCCAGTTCGGAGCAAATGTGGCAGGATGTGGATGTGGACATGGTAAACCTGAATACCTCCTTCTGATTTTATGTAAAAATACATACTCCAAGTATTATTATTATTATTATATTTTTTCTTTTATCAATGCATTTTCCAACACAAGCTTTTTTCTGATTAATTTTATTTTTTAATATTATTTTAATAGGCCTACGTTTTTGTGAAATTTTTAAATTAAGAAGAAAGTAGTCGCATTTAAAATTTAATTTAATTTAATTTTTTTATAATAATACAATTAATTAAAATTATTAAAATAATAATAAATTAAAATAAAATAAAATCTTAAATTAAAATAATAAAATTACAACTCTAATGAAGCGATTTAAAATTTGATTTAATATGTGGCTATTTACTTTATAATTCTAAAATAAATTTATTTAAATTTTCTTCATAATTCTATAATTTCACTATAATTTATGCCTATTGTAAAACAATTACTAACTAAAACAACTCAACTAATTAAAGAATTTTGTTTGCCAGCTGTCGCTCTGAAATGGCAGTTGCTATAAAAAAATCAAGAAAGGAAGCTAACTTCGGCACGCCGAAGTTTGTATACCCTTGCAGATATTATTTCATTACATTTTACCTATACTTATTATTTTTACAGTTTGACAGTTACAGTTTTACATTCACACCTTTACATTTTCTCTACATCTACCGATCGCTCCTATGGCAGCTATATGATATAGTTGTCCGATTTTCATGAAATTTATACCAAAATTCTAGAATAATAAAATAAGCTTATATCTCAGAGTAGATGAAAATACGTTGAAAAACAATGAAGTTATAAATTTTGTTCTATTAATTTTCCGATCATTCTTATGGCAGCTATAAGATATAGTCGTCCGATTTTCAAAAAATTTTTACCAAAATTCTGGAATAATATAAAATGGGTATATCTTAAAAATGATGCAAAAATATTGAAAAACAGCCAAGTTAAAATTTTTTTTCTAAAAATTTATCGAACATTTGTATGGGACCTATATGATATAGTCGTCCGATCCGGCCCGTTCTGACATATATAGCAGTGAGAGTATATAGAAGACTCTATGCAAAGTTTCATTCAGATAGCTTTAAAACTAAGGGACTAGTTTGCGTAGAAACGGACAGACGGGCAGACGGACATGGCTAGATCGACTCGGCTGTTGATGCTGATCAAGAATATATATACTTCATAGGGTCGGAAACGTCTCCTTCACTGCGTTGCAAACTTCTGACTGAAATTATAATACCTTGCAGGGGTATAAAAATATTTATTGTGGGCGTTTTTTCGAAGCCAAAACATCGAAAAGTGACAAAAAATTAAGAAAATTAAGAGCCTATCAAGTGACGAAAAAATCAAAAAATAAAATGCCGACGCCTCCAAGTAAAAAAAAAATGCCAAATCAAAAATTAAAAACACAGATACCTCCAAGTAAAAAAAAAATCATCAACAACAATAACAAACCGAAACCAACAGACGTCTATAGAAGGAGGAAAGACCGCAGCAACAACAACGACATCAGAAACGAAAGCAGCAGCAGTGAAGACGACAGCAGCAACGACCGAGAACTAGGAACAACTAAGTCAAATTAAATTTTTTTTTTTAATATCTATACATATATCTATACATTCAATTCTTCCTTCAAAGTGAACGGACGTGTTTTTTTCTTGCGCTCCCGATTTGTGTAGAATTTGCCTAAAACCTCCGGGGTTTACTAACATTTAATATTTGGTGTTTCAAATCATTCCCGTTCACTTCGCGTGTGCATGCTACTTGTTTATTTTGTGCTATTTAATTCAATTTAAATTGCTTTTTAGTTTGGGCTGCTGCGGTTGCCTTGCATTTTGCTCTTTTTGCATTCCCTTTTGTGCCTTTAGCGTTTGTTGTTGTTTGCGTTGCCGCGACAGCTATAAACGGTTCTACTCAGTGCTTATCTCTCGCTCTCCTGCTCTTTGCCCCCCCCGCTCATCAAGTGCCGCCGCACTTAATCCCTTGCGCCCTCTCTTAAATAGTGGAAGTACAGTGGTAAGTCCTTATAATGTCCCATAATATGGTCTGCTTCGCAAAAAATTGTAAGAAAAATATTACTTACGGTGAACTCACCATCACCTGTTGGCTGTGTGACAACATAGTACATGCCAAGTGCATTGGCGTTGTTGCACGGACAGTAGATGACGTGGCCAAAAATATCGGCGTACGTTACTGTTGCGAGGCCTGCCGCGAGGTGGAAAGGGAAATGATGTCTTTTATGCGGCAAACCAGGGGTGGTTTTAAAGAGCTATTATTGAGTTTTCGCAAAACTCAAGATATGCTCTTGGCGCTGGATACTCAATTTAATAGCCTCAAGCTGTTAAATGAGTCTCCTAGGCGCAAAAAAACCGCAACTGGTGGGCAGCATATTGGCGGATCCCAGCCACCAGTGATAGGCACTGCACAGCAGCCTCCCTCGACTCTGCCCCCGACCCCGGGACAAATTCCAAGAGTCCTGAGATCGAGCGCTAAAAAAGATTCGGTATCCGAATGCGTCGCGGGTGCGACCGTGCTCCCGGTGTTGCCCAGTTCCGTTTTGTCCACTGGGGGGTCCCAACTGTTGTCTCAGCCCTCTCAGAGCCCTAATCCCAGTCCCTGCCAGGGTATCAGGCCCGGACTACCGTCCGAAAGTGGTATGGTGGCTCAGTCTGCCGTGCCAAAACCCCTTATGGCAATTCCACCAACAAAAAAGTTATTTGTTTCACGGCTTTCCCCTGATCAGACATCGGAAGATGTCATAGCTTTTATCCAAGGCAAAGTAAAAGTCGATAGAGAAAAAATTAAGGTGGAAAAATTTAAATTTTCTTACCCTAGGAACATTTCGTCTTTCAAGATAAATGTTCCTGACGAAGTCTTTGGCACTCTATGCTCTGCCGAAACCTGGCCACAGTATGTGGTTGTCAAAGAGTTTGAAGGTACGAAAAAGAAAAAGCGGCCTGTAGGAATTACTCTTTCTAGGCCAGATTTGCCCAATGCGCCATCTACGTCATCCAATTCCGTCCCAAAAAACTAACCAGTTCCCTTGGTATTTCCTATCAGAATGCAAGAGGCTTACGCAGTAAGCTTCCTAAATTGTATTCCGACAGCGTCGCATTTGCTTCCCAAGTTATTGTGTTCACAGAAACCTGGTTAAAGCCGGAGATTCTGAGCTCCGAAGTTTTTCCAGCTGCGTTCACAGTATACCGGCTAGATCGGCCTATCAGACGTGGGGGAGGTGTCCTTATAGCGGTCGACTCCACTCTCACGTCCGAATTAATAATTTTCGAGGAATCCAACAATGTTGAATTCCTTTGCGTGAAGCTATCAGTTAATGGTAGTTCCATTTTTGTTACATGTTTCTACATTCCTCCATTGTCGGAACTTCCTATTTATTGGAACCATCTTTCCGCTATTCAGTTGGTCTCCAAAAGACTTTCGGATAGGGACCATTTAGCAGTTCTTGGTGATTTTAACATCCCAGGGGCTATTTGGTCCCTAGATAATTCCACAAACACACTTCTTACGACAACACATCATGATTTTATTGCTGGCTTGTTTGACATTTCGCTGTCCCAAGTCAATCATGTTCGAAATTCCTTAGAGCGCTTGCTTGATCTTTGTTTTGTCTCAGATCCGGAAAGAGTTAGTTTAGCTAGGGTGGCGCCCCTGACGCAACCCGAAGATCCCTATCATCCCACTTTCGATGTGACTATCGACTTGGGGACTGTTTCACGGAATAAGTCTGACAGTCCAGCCCAAGTAGTCTTCTGCTTTAGCAAGACAGATTTCGTACGGCTGAATAATTTCATAATTAATTACAACTGGTCCGATCTATACACATGCACTGACATGACGGAAGCCGTGGGTATTTTTTATCGTGTTATGAATTCATTTTTATTGACTGTGTTCCGTTATACTGTCAGTCTACATCGAACAAGCCTCCTTGGTTTACCAAAGAGTTGACCCGCCTCAAAAATAGAAAATCAAATCTATATGCTAAATATCAACGTACCGGTTCTCCGATTGTCCTATCTAGTTATTTATCAGCTCGATCCACTTTTACTGTGTATAACGCGCAGTGCTACAATAATTATTTGACTCGTTGCAGGTCCCAGTTTTCTGAGGACCCAAAACAGTTTTATAATTTTGTTAAATCCAAGCGTAAATCCATTACTTGTCCGTCCTCGCTCTCTTTTGGTAATTCAACAGCAGATAATGATCAGGCAATAGCCGATCTCTTTGCTCAGTTTTTTGAAACCACTTACTCCAACTCAATAGACCCAAATCAGGCTTATCCTTACATCATCCCGAAATCTAACCAAATCTTTAGTCCTACCATTAACGAAAGCTCTCTTCTTAGGAATCTTCATCGTGTTAAGCCAGTTTTTTTACCAGGTCCCGACGGAATACCAGGCTGTGTGCTTAGGAATTGTGCCGAAGCCCTGTGCAATCCACTTCTCAAATTGTTTACCATATCCTTAGAAACCTCCCACTTTCCCCTTTATGGAAGGAATCATTCGTTATTCCTCTCCACAAAAAAGGTAGCAAATTGGATGCCAACAATTACAGAGGTATCTCTAAGTTGTCGGCCATCCCTAAACTGTTCGAAAATGTTATTACTCCTCATCTGCAGCACCTGTGTAGGTCAATTATTTCTCCATGTCAACATAGTTTTATTAGGCGAAGATCAATTACAACGAATCTGTTGGAGCTTACTTCCTTTATTATAAAGGGATACCGAAATAACTTTCAGACAGATGTAATCTATACTGATTTCAGTAAAGCATTTGACTCTGTTAACCATTCTCTTCTTGTTCGGAAACTCGATTTAATGGGATTTCCGACTGATCTTCTTAATTGGATCACAGGTTATCTAAATGGCAGGACGCAGAAGGTGCTTTTCGAAAATAAACTATCTAATGTTCTTAGGGTTACATCTGGCGTCCCGCAAGGGAGTCATTTGGGTCCCCTACTGTTTGCGTTATTTATCAACGATCTGCCCGAAGTTTTGACCAACTCCAGAGTACTTATATAT